TTTAACGAAGGATTAAAGTTTTGTTGCAAAAAGTAACATAATATGTTATGATAAAAGAAAGTCATTATCCTTTTCATAATTTGATTGGGCAAAATTGTTTAAGTTGTATAAAATAACTTTATAATCTCCTATATCATAACTAGAGTATAGTTTTAGTAAAGTTCTTAATGTAATCTAAGTTTTCATAACAATTACTAAAATGTAATATTGTATAAGTAAATATGGAAAACCTTTACAGTTAGTCTAGTCAAATAAAAAGGAAATGGTAATCTAATTTAGTATATAATGTAGAATTCAAACCAAAATAATATATAGAACTTTACCTTAAATAAGTAAAATTTTGTACCAATAAAATACAGCCAGAGGTCCTGCTTTTCATAATTAAAGAAATCATTATAAAGAGTTCAAATAGAAATTCAAAGAGATTAAATGAGAATTATTCCCAAAGTTCAAATTTGATTTGTTATTTTTGTTGAATTTATTTTTATTTTCTCATAAATTAATGCTTTATTAGGAATATTTCTATTCAATATTAATACTACAATATTATAATTGATAAATAATACTTTCATTCTAAACATTTATAGAATTGTTGAAGAGAATAGAAAACTTGCTTATGTAAACCGTTTTCCATTTTGCAGTCCAATCAGTTGTTTATACAATTATGAATATAAATTGTAGACAACAACCATTTTCTGGAAGGGGATTATAAAATTAAAAAAAAAGTATTTTGATATATACATTTTCAAATTCATATATCTTTGCAATAATCTTATATAATATATATAGTATTTTTCAAAACAATCCTTTAGGAGGAGTCTTATTAACTAAATCTACTATAAATTTCATATGATTTGTCACATTTTATAATGGCAATACTGCTTTCTTGCTATTATTGTTAGAATTAACTGTTGTGCTTGCCATTGAATTCGTTTGCTTATGATATGAAACTTTTTAGTTCTATCTGAGAGGTGTAGCTGCCTAAGTTGATACTCTTTATTCAGTCTTATGTGGTGTTCTTGATGTTGATTTTCCTATAATTCTGGGAGTGTACTGCTATTTCAAATTTGGAGAGATGGATCGTTCAGGTGTTTTGCTTTGAGATGCTAATTTAATTGAATTTGCATTTAATTAAGGACAGAAGGGAGTCTTTTTCAATTCTTCAATCAAATGATGCTCACTATTAATCTGTTTATTAATTTGGCTCTTTTAACATCTTTGAAGTAGAGATGAATTCTAATCAGAAATTATTCGTTGAGATTTCTTATTAATTTTTGGTTTGAATGTCAAACCTTTCAGTTCTTCCTACTACTTTTCCTTTTGCATTAAATGGAGTTATTCATTCTTTCTTTCAATCCAATAATCAACCTCTTCTAAAAATTGATCTACCGTTCTATGTTCTCTATCCTTATTAATATTTGGCCGAAATGAATATTTGCTGCATTCCTATTCTTCATTCATCTCCTTCAACCGTTTGTATTCTGCTATTTTCAGTTGCTTTTCCTTCATTAAATGTTGGGCACGTTAATGAATAGGTATATGATTCATCGTATTAATTATAATAAAACTTAGTTAACGAATATATTTCTATTTTGTAAAAATCCTAAAAACCAAAAACTTTAGAAATCTCTAGCAATAATTATCTAATAGACTCATATTTTATGTCAATTTGGAATCTTTTAATTTATAAATGAATACTATATATGTTGATTGTATTTAGTATAAAGTTATTTTATTTGTGAAAACACTCAATCATGTGATCATAAATTATTCTTATTCTAAACTTATATTGATAGAACACAATTTTTTGATACCATTCAGATAAAGTTATAAACATTGCCAGTTTACTTGAAATCAACTGTAGATAGGCAATAATTATTAGACTCAATAAGAATTTTATAGTAAAATTATTGCAAACACTTTAGTGATTTATTAGATGATAATTTTGATAAGGCTTTTTTAATTCAACATAGTAATTAGGAAAACATTTTCAAAATGATATGAAATGAGTTTATATGACAATAAAAGGATTATAAAAAGAATATATTAATTTATGAATTAGTGTTATAATTATTCTAGTTAATATTAAAATCTGTTAAAAATATAGTTGTTAATAATGAAATCAGACTCTTTGGCAGTAAGTGTTTATATTACTATTAGATGAGAATTACCAAATAAAGAACCCGATAGGTAGAGGGGCTGGTAGTTTTGTGTGCAAGATTGTAAACAGACTAACCAAAGTAGAAATGGCTGCGAAGATTATTTAGAAAACATCCTCGAATTCACACAAAATATAAAATGAAGTAACAATACATTCAGAATTGCATCATAAAAATATTGTACATTTGGTAGATGTTTTTGAAGATGCTGACAACAGTTATCTTATCATGGAATTGTGTGATTAAGACATTTATTAATTAATTAAGAAAGGGTAATTGAATGAACAATAAATACGTTTTTATGGTAAATAATTGGCAGAAGGTCTGTAATATTTGCATTCTCATAACATAATTCATAGAGATATTAAATTAGGGAATCTTTTAATACAGAATGATATCCTAAAAATTGCTGATTTTGGATTGGCTGTAAAATTAGCAGATGACGAAGAAGAGAGAAATACACTTTGTGGTACTCCAAACTATATTAGTCCAGAAATCCTAAACTAATAACCTTATGGAAAGAAAGTTGATTTATGGAGTTTGGGATGCTGTCTATTTGCAATGGCAACAGGTCGTGGTCCTTTTGAGGAGAAAAATGCTGCTTTGGGCGATGTTTTGAGAAAAGTGAAACAAGGGGATTTTGATCTACCTGCTAATTCTACTGAAATTTTTAAGGATTTAATAATGAATTTGTTAAATCTTGATGCAGATTAGAGATACTCAATTGAAAAAATAATAAAGCACCCATTTTTTATGGATCCTATTCCACCTAGGATCTAAAGTAGAAATCAATCCAGTTCTTAGATCAAGTAACTTTTAGATTTGAGTCCATTCGTGAAGTAATAGCATCGATCTACTTGTTCTATGATTGGATTGGATAAATAATAGATTCTAACTTAGTTTCTATAGAAATAACAATTGTTAGGAGGAAAGAAGTTACTCTTTGGTTAAACAACAAATGGAAAGATTTCACTTAAACAAAACTATCATCTTGACAACGTTCCCAGATTCTTCTTACCTTAAGAGACAAACTTCAATAATACTAGTTGCAATCATCACAACAAAGAAAATATCAATCAAGAAAATTGCAATAAAGAAAACATCAGAGAGAATAGCGTTAAAATCAATAAGCAGAATTCTTCAGCAATCTGTATCTTCACCGAATCTCCAATTAAGTTAGGTGATTTAAAATCTTGTAAATTATAAACAAAAAATGGTTTACTATAAATTCACGAGGATGGAAGATTCGAAATGGATGTAAGTAACAAAGATTTGAATTTTATCATCTAAACTAATGGATAAGAAGTAATTTTTTTATTAAATTATTCATTAGATAATAGTGTAAAAGAAAGGTTAAAAAGCCAAATTGTATAAGTTAAATGAGTTACCCCAAAAGTTATAGAAATTCTATACTTATTCGAAATAGGTTTGTAATGCAATCCGAGAAAAGAATCAGAAATAGAAACTTAACAATGAACACGGCAATTTTGCATTAAAAAATACAAAATTGGGTTAATGTTATGAAGGCTATATCGCATAATCAAAAATAAAGGTAAAATTATCTTTGAAACTTTAGATATAACATATCTTAAACTCAGATACAATAAAATTATAATATCACAATGGGACTACTAAAATTGTAAATATTCATGAGTTCTAATAACTTTCATCATAAGCAAGAATGGATCCAAATGAAGTGTATTCAATTAAAATTGCACTCAAATATTTAACTTAATGTTTGTAATGATAGTTAATTTGTTATTATATTTAAATTATAATCTCTAATTTACAATGTTTAATTTCCTTTTCTGAGTAACTAATGAGGTTTTGAATGGCAATAAGTAAGAACTAAGTAAATCATGCAAAAATTAGCTCATAATTTCTAACTTTCGTCTTAATTTTCTTCTTTTAATTAAGTTCCAGGAATTAGAAAAGATGATTGTGTATTCAAATTTGGAACAAACTAAATTGAAAATGAATTTATTGGTTTTGTGCGTCAATACAGTATTTTTTTAAGAAAACGACGTTTTTTAGAAAGCATATGAATATTATCATGAATCATTGTTTGAAGTAATTTCTCATTTAAAATGGAAGTCGCTCTGTAACTTTCATTTTTAGAGTGTGAGACACACTTATGACAACTCATTAAGTAATAAATGTATATTGTTAATGAGTTTACAAAAAATTTAGGATTAAGTTTGTGTAAAACCAATAGTCATAATAATTATTCAACTAAAAATTCTACAAACATTCGAGCATTCTAAAGTAATGTAGTTCGCTATGTTATTTCAGAGAAAATATCATCTTTTTCGGCGCACGACATGCTCCTTACGTTATTTTGTTGTTCACATAAGGTCTCTTATTATTCTTAGGGAACACTTAAATGTTTGTAATTTCTAAATTAATTAAATATTACTATCCTAAAATTTCCCATCTAAAGCGTAAATACTTATAATATCGATTTTTCACCATAGCCAATGTTTTTCCATGAAAATGTCTATGAATTCTCTAAAATTTGGGACCGTTGTTCAGCACCAACTATAAAATACGTTTATCATCTTCTAGCGAAAACTTTTTGCCTGACTTTTTACTGTTTGTTCCGTCAGCGCATCTTCGCTTTTTTCGATGATAATCATATTCGTTTTTCTTTTTTTGCTTTTTTAGTAGACCTGCCTTATTGGGCTATTCATTTTGAGAATCTATCTCTTCATTCTCCTTGATCATTACCGCTTTCTACTATTTTAATTAATTACAATTCTGAATTAAATTTTGAGTTTTGTGCTCGTATTAATCAAAATTTATACATTCCTTCATAACATAATTTGAAATCTATAAGTAATATTAGATTATTTATACACGTATGAATAATCATATCTAATATAAAATTAAACAATTTATAAAAACGAATAATTTTAGTAGTGTATTATTATTATTATTATTAACCCTCCTAACAAAATTAAAGATTATTATTTCAAAAAGATTTTGCCCCTTACTTCCATAATCTAGAAACCAATTCTATCAATAGATTAAATCTAAACTGATACTTTTAAATTAATGTATTTATAATGATTAATTTGCATAAAGAAAATAAGAAGAATTTTTTATCTTAAAATTCTTTTTTTAAAATTATTCTTATTAACACTGTTTATAGATTTATTTTAATATGACATGTACTGATGATAGATATCACTTTTTTCCGTGCTTTTAATCCATAAACTTTTTCAATCTTTCTACAACTTAACCTTGAGCACTCGAGGCAAAATTAACAGCCTTTGAAGGTAAATTACCTTTTGGATCTCCCCAAGACATATAAGTAACTTGTGTACCCTATTATTTATGTCAAATAATTACTCCTTCTTTTTCTTCCAATAACCATCCTCCAAGTTTTAATTCGCCTCTAACCTTTCCTTTAACGGGTGGTTTTGATGCTAATTCAATGGATTTACCCACAACCCATAATTTATTGCCATCTCTGAGTCTCTTTTACAGAATCACAAAATCTCTTCCAGAAACCACGATAAACATATCCTTCAACCTCTAATAAAAGATCAATAAATCCTCTCTTATTTTTGCGATGAGGCTAGCCTAAATTTATAATGATGTAAATAAATACCTATTCACACAATTCATCAAATTTTTCAGCGTTCTCCACCTAATTAAGAATATCGACAATTTATTATATAGTATAAGGTAAGAATCCCTCTCCTCTTGAGAAATTAAGACCAGTTTCCTTATCAGGCCTAAGATGGATCTTAAAACCATTCTTGTCACTGTGAGGTTCCCACTTGTTTTCAGGAGTAAGAGGTAAAATCTGTTGGAATTACTGAATGGCCTCTAAATAGTTACATTAGACAATTACAATCAGCTAATTAATCATACTGCTAGATTTATTCGGCTGTGAATTACTCTTATTGAATCATTAAATTTAATATATAAAATTGATTCCGAGTATTTTTCTATTTAAATAGAAACAAGCCAATTAATTTATTATATTTAAAATTAAATCACGACGTAAGGAAAGGTTGTTTTATTTAATATGACAAATTTATTACTACACGCTTTTTAATTTTTTAGAAATTAGTAATGTGTTTATTTATTTTAATTGATTATAACATTAGCAAATCATAAATATACATCATCGACAATACTGCTGTATTCTTTAAGCCAATAATTTTTATTTTAAACTATATATAATGTATCGGTTAATAGTTAAATAAAATTAAATAAATGGCAAATAGCTATCAATTTAATGTGTATTTAATTTTTGTTTTAATTCAAAAATCACCAGGTTATTATAAGACAAGTTAATAATTATAATCATGCTTTTATTAAGCAAATCTAGCACTAATGAATAACTCTAAATCATTAAAATACATAAAAAAATAGTTATTATAAATATATTTCTTCTGAAAATTTATTTTCATTTCTTTGATTCTCTCCTGGTCACATAATCATTATAGTGTATATTTAGAAGCAATGAGAAATTAATAGATAAAATAATAAATATAAATATGAACATAAAGTTTAGAAAAATGTATTATAAAATTAAATATATACGAAATGATTTCTGTTAAAATGGCAGTGTTAATTGTTTGCAATTAATAAATTCACTTAGATGAATTAATCAATTCGCCCGGATAGCTCAGCTTGGTAGAGCGAGAGACTCTTAATCTCTAGGTCCAGGGATCGAGACCCTGTTCGGGCGAAAATTTTTTTTTTATTTTTAATTAATATGCAATCTAGTTTTATTATTAATCTAAAAGTGTAATTTTAAGTCCTTTTTTTATTTCAGATTGAAAGAGAGCAGTATAAAAACATAGTGTTTATTTGTAAATCATATTTAAATCTTTATTTACTGCAAAAGAAATATAGTAATATTAAAGAAGGCTATTGATTGAATTTGTGAGTTATGGTAGAAGTAATTGTAACCGAAAAATAAGCATGTATAAAGAAATATAAAAAAGCAAAGAAAAGAAAGAAGGGAGAATGAAAAAGGCGGTCTCAGAATAAAGAACCAAATAGGAATAAGAATCATTTAAGTTAAATTTAATCACCCTAATAAAAATAGAATAGACATATAGAACAAAAAATAGTTATTAGTTAAAACACTTGAGTGATTATAACTGAAATAAGAAATATATAATACCATCAATACTAATTCAAAGTTCAACTGAAATATAGCTGGTATAAGTTGGATAAGTGAATTTTCACAGAGAATGAATATTAAAGATGCTAGAACCAAGTAAAGCAGTAGAAGTTTGAAGATTATTTTATTTTATATAATTGATTATTGAATAAGAGTGATAAAAATTAATTAATTTCCTAAGTAAATATTTTAATGTCTTCTAATATCCAACAAAGTCAAATTGGACTTCCAGCAAATATGTCAAACCAAAATAGAACATAGAACAGCCAAGTACTCAATTATAACAATTTTGCTTATGCTTAAAGTAATATTAGGTGGGATTCCCAGAATCAGCCCTCATAAATAAATAATCCAACTGGTTCGTAACTCTTAAAGTAATAACAATTCTGTATAATATGTTAATAATATGTAATAGATGAGGGTTAATAGTAGTCACAAATCAAATAGCAACAATAATCAAAGATCTAGCTTGCCCAATCAGACATAAGAGGTGGTAATTTTTACTAGAGCTAAATTGTGAATAGTGGATATGATGCAAATATGTTATAATCCAAACCCTTTTAAGGATCTTAAGAGCAACAAATCTAATAAAGATCAAATCTTCCAAATTCGAATTCAAATATAATTATTACAGATAATTGGACAGAGAACGATTATGCTAAATAATTTGAAGAGTGGAGAGACTTAATTTAATTAAATAAAGACTTTATAAGTCAATTAGAGAATGATAGATTGTAAATTCCATTATCTAACGTCATTGTACAAGAAATATTAAAAATCAAATCAAATATCTTAAAGAATTCCCTTATATCTAAATTAACCTAGTTCAATGAGATTATTAAACCATTTTCATATGAATTGTCAAATAAGAGTGAAGAATTAGAACAATCATTAGGTATTCTAAAATAAAGTAGGAAGCCCCCGAAAAATAAATTTGCCACTCCCTAATAAGAACAATAGTCAGCATTGTCTAATGTTCAACTTTTCAACCAATAATTAAGTCATGTCAAATTGGAAATACAAAATCAAATCAATTTGACCAATAGTATACTTCAATAGATAAGTGGCTAAAAAAATTACATTGAACCATAAGAAAATTATCAACAGAAACTAGAAAATGCATTCAGTTCTTAGTTGCTATACGTGAGAGAACGAATGACACAATCAATTAATTTATTGTTATTTATTCATGAAAGGGAAGTGTTCAATTTAGATAGATAAATTAATTCCTAGATATAAGAATCTGATACTCTTAGCATTACATCTTTATTAGAGAAGCTAATGATAATTGAAGGGCTATTAGAAAAGTTTTACGAAAAGAAATAAGAACTAAGAGAATTTAAAGAGAGATTGACTTAATTGTAAAACAGAAACATTGATCTATTTTCTGACTTTTTTGAAGATGTGGAGTCTCTGTACAAATAGTATAAGATTTATTATGTAGAGATTAAGTAAATCTAATAGATTTCAAATTAGCCAATTTTATAGAATTTACAAATTAAAATAAAGTAATAATTATCCATAGCAGCAAAGTAAGTTTGGTTGGACATTAAACAATTATACTTTAATGGTAACAGGATTAAGGATTTTAATGAAGAAGAAAAGTTTCAACTATTTAACTAGTACAATATTGAAGCATAAGTGCAATATATCAAATCATATGTGAATCAATTACAAATTGATTACTTAAAGAAAGGAAATTAAGTGCCTTTGGAAGAATCGAAAAAACTCAAATAATTAATATATAAGGCAGAATCTTAATATCAGAAGACTAATCAAATACGATAGGAAATATCTTTATTAGAACAATAAGAGTTTATAGCATATAGAAATTACATAACCGATAATGTTAAACCCAGATTCTTTGTCGACTTTAAGGAACTTTATGCGAAAGACTTTTATGAAGTCATTCATTTCTAATATGCAGATGCCAGTGTTCTAGAGACTACAAAATAATTACTCTAATTTAAATTCCCTACATTTGATTGGAATGAAAATATAGATGATGAAAGATAAAGAATCGAAATAATAATGTAGAGACATGACGAAGTGTCTGTAAAACTATAAGGATTGGCCGAACAATATTCAAGTGAGACCAAATTTGTTAAATAATTAAGAAATTGGAAGGGAGAACTGCTTAAATGTATTAACATTTTGAAGCAGTACCTTGTGATTAAGGAATAATTAAAAGGTGAAATTATAACATTATTAAAATGGCCATAGACAACATAGAATATGTAGAAAATAAATGAATTCAGTGTACATTGCGAGTAAATTAGCAGGTAAGCTAATCAATATTTCTAAGCAATTGAATAATTGTAATCAATGCAACTAATAGACAATTTATAATTATTGTTTAATAAATAGAATCAAACAGTTAAGTAATATTTAATTGAATAATGCAACTTCATTAATTAAAGAGAATTCTCACCAATTATTAATGATTAAATGCAAATCGTGTATTAATTCTTGTATGCATGTATGGAATGCTTAAATTTTGATATCGATGAGGTATTTTGCAGGACAACTACATATTAAGAGTTTGAGAATATTTTGAGTGGTTCCACAAAACTATAAGAATTGAAGAATGTTATTGATGGCAATGTTCATAATTCTGCTTTGAGATACAAACTATTTTAAATTATAGATAATTTCATGAAAAATAAGATCAAATAAGACTTTTAGAATTTATTCGAATTAAAAATATAATAGAGCAAATAGGATACTAATAATTTCAATCCAAAGGAACTAGAAAAAAGAACTGACTTAAAGTTCCCTATCAATAGACCTGATATTTGCGAAAATAGCTATTGCAAATTGAATATGGATTTGATTAATTAAATAATAGATTAGCCAGATCTTAGATATATATTCTCATAATTCAGAGATCTACTAACCAATATCACTGCTGTTATCGATCAAGATATCTCTGTAACAGATATTCAGATCAATCAAATAACTATTCTAGAATTAGCCAACAATTTTTCAAATCAATTGCTCATCCAAAATTAATTGACAAATATTCAGCCTTTGATTAGATTTCATCAACAATTATCGTAATTCCCAAGTATAAAGCAATTTTAAAACCAACTCATTAACTTGGGAATTGTATTTCCTGCTGAATATAATAAATATTTGGCAGCCTGTCAAAGGAGAGTCTAAAGATTAGTCCAAAGTATTTGCATAGAGTTTGAATCTTTAGATTTCGATGAGATTTCATAAGCTAAATTGTATTTCAATAACAATGAATACATATTAACATAAATAGATTTTCCATATCTGTATATAGACTCCAAGTCCTTGATTTTGGAATATCAGCCATTAAAATTTAATTGCAGTCTAAATGTTAAAATAAATGGAAAAGTATTAAAGACAGGATCGACAATTCAAATATGATGTATTTTTATTATAATATCATTTTGCAAAAACATTCCACAATATAAATACTATGACAATTGCAACAATTAAAAATGCAAATTATTAAGCATTAGCTGGTGTGCCTCCTCCTGCTTACCATTACTCTTATGGAGAATTCTTATCTACTGTACCAATTTTGTACTTCTCCAATATTTAACGAGCTCCAGATGTATGACCTACATTATTATTAAATTCCTCACCTGTTTCGTTAAAGTCTCTTGTGGCATCTTTCCCAAAGCGATTTTATAAAACTGCAGGACCGCCTGGATGTTCATTAAGATATGGAGTTGGGTCATAAATTACCCCATCTATAACAAGCCATCCATTTTTTTGATTTTATCCAACTTGCTACCATGTGTATGTACTCATATTATTTAATAATAATTTAATATAAATCCAAAGAATTATTCACAAAAAATAGTACAGAAGTGTAATTGTCATTAAGAATATTTATGATAAATGCGAGCCCAATATCATTTAATTAAATTACAGTGGATGAAGACTCCAATTCTATGCTTTAAATATACGTAATGATTAATAAAATTTAATTATTCCTTGAATGAAATATGTTCTTTTTGATGTAGATAAAGCACTTATAATTATAATAACCAACCTTATTATGCATGAATTGACTATTCTTTTGTATTAATTAAAGAGAGAATTTAATAATTAATATACTAACTTGAATAAATACATTAGTAATATTAGATAAATAGCAATTTAAATATTTTAAATTATTTTCTCGAAGTTTTCAATCTATAGTTGAAGGATTCCTTATAAAATTAGAATATATGAAGCAAATAAAGCAATACTTTACAATAAGTTCTTCATATTGAAAATTACTTATGACATTATATTTAATTAAAATAAAAAAAAAATTCGCCAGAACAGGGCTTTGATCCCTGGACCTATAGATTAAGGGTCTATCGCTCTTCCAGCTGAGCTATTCAGGCGAATTAATTAAATAGTAGATCGAAAAAATATGTACTAAATCAAAACACTCCATACCTACTTTACAGGAATCATGAAGTGTTATAAATTTATTTTAAAATACATTTATTACTTTAAGAATTAATTTATTATAAACTGATTATATGATCTGCCGAGATGGATAGAGTCAGATTCTATAGTCTTTCTTACATTTCTAAATTCTATGTATAAAAATAATGAAGATTTTGAATCATCAATTTATTAAGTTATGAGATTTAGAATGTAATGAAACTAATTCATAAACAATTTATTAATAGATTAACTTTTTATAAATAGGGTTAATACCTATGAGAGAATACAATATTCAATTTTCCTTAAATTTTAAAGAATTCTACAATTATAATTTTGATACTTTCTTGCCATATAAATGAAATAAGTTACAAATTTTTATCTACTTTATACAGAACCTCCTTATATTAGAGGGAATTAAAAAATAATTTTAAACAAATAAATATTAATATTCAATTGCAGAATTGAATTTAAATGCAAGAAAAAATATTTAATATCAATTTGAAATAATTAGAATGGCTCACAATTTTCATTTTCCCCTGAATTGTTAAATTGTTTCTCTTTTATATTTTAATTGGTTGCCATCATACTTCGAAGACTTTTTAATGCCATCCGTGTTGTAATCAACATACTAATGTGACAAGGATAATCTCTGCTATTTATTCTTTCTTAAATTATTCAGAATTAAATATGCTATTAAATCTGCTATTCAAATTAGATATTTTTTGTCTGTTGTAATTCAGGATATTTCTTCATTTCATTTAAATTAAATAGAAAGCAAAACTTCTATTTATTATATTATTTGGGAGATCATAGAGATAAAGCAAACCTATAATTCTCAATAATAATGCTCAGTGTCTATATGTTCTTCTCATAAAATCAGTCATTTTGATCTATGATAAAGACGAAATTCACTAATTTTCAACCTAAATTCGTTTACGTTAAATTATTTCAATCTATAAATTTTTAAACATAAGATTTACCTTCTTAAGATAATAAATTGCAAATAAAGAAATATAGTAGAATAATATATGGATACTAATTGAAATTGCATTGCAATTAATTAATTCAGAGAAAACAAATAAGAATCCTTAAATCTTTACTATAAACAGATCAATATTTTAGAGTAACAAAAAAGAATGTAAAACAGCATCATATAAGTACTCAATTAATTATTTTTCCTTGAATTCATTTATCAAATAAAGATTGATGGTCTATATTATTAAAAATTACCAAATCCCACAAGGCTATGATATAAAAATGAAATCTTAGTTATCTTATATATATATTAGAAATAGATAATTTGATATATATTTAATTTTTTCATTTACTTGTTTCAAAAACTGAATTATTACTAATACTATTTAATTGATTAATCTAGAAATAAATTAATTATATTAATTTCTTAAATTAATTTCACTTTTCTTTTTCAAGACGATTCAATTAAAAGAGAAAGTATGTAAGAATCAAGGAGTACACTATTAAATCGAATTTATAGATTTATCACAATTAATTAATCGATAATTAACCTTAAATAAAATATAATGTTCAATTAATTTACTCACATATTCAAGACATTACTATTGAAATTGAAAACTGCTTATTATTCTAAATAGAATTGGCAGTTTTAAAAGAATTAAATAATCTTAAATAGAGAGTTATTAATTTGATTATATGATAATATAGATTTTAATGACGAGATAGGGAACAAACAAAGAGTTGGGTTACAGATGATGATATAAATTAAATTAAATTATGATCACATAGCTGTTTTCTCCCATTTTTCAAAATCTTTGAATCTGACTGTGAAATCAGTATTATTTCTTTTGGCTTATGAGAAACTCTAATGAGATTATTATAAAATAAATTATACAGTAATAAAAGATTTAGCATCTTCTCCAGCGTTCTCGAAAAGCTAACAGAAATCTTCAAATTCTAATTTATCACCCTAGAAATCTCCAAGAAATGATTCCAAATCAATTTTCAGTTCGAATTCCTGTTGGATGATATCAATTATGGTTTATTTTTATACGTAACCTGATCTATCAGGCTACCCTCCCAAGGCAACAAATGCATCAACTTAAGATAATTACATCTAAAATACTATATTCCTGAGTTATGGTTTCCTCGTCTTCCAATTATTATTAATAATTCTTCAATTTACAATACAGATCGCATATTTACTTAAGTTCGAGTTGTTTTCCTTCATAAGTTTTTATTTCCTCTTTGAATTTGGCAATCATCTTTTCGTTTGACAACAACTTCAAATCTAACTTATAAAACAATATTAAATAACCTCTCATGATATCATCGACCTCATTTTTGCTAACAAAACCAGTTCCTTTAGGATCATATCGTTTAGCTTAAGTCATCAGTTCTGTTATTTCAATTTGATTAAGGTTGAAGGCACTTTTTATTTATTATATAATATCAGCTTCAAGTAACAGAGTTTTTCTTTTCATAAAATTATTTTTATATTAATAAAAATTAGATACAAATAAAACCAACCTGCATTTATTTACAGATAGGAAATTGCATTTTCAATAGGATATGCCACTATGGAGATTCCAAGAATCTAATATAAGAGATATTTTGAGTAAAATGAAAATATATGGAATTCAGCACATTATATTTATTAATATAAATATTATACTCATGATTGTTTATATTAATAATCATAGGTTTCTTCAAAATTCTTCCTAAACATTGCTTAAATGTGTTCAACAAACAATTCAAAAGTAGCAAATTTATCAGGTTTGATTATTTCATCTACCTTGATTGAAATCTGAGTGGGTCTAAATAGAAGTTACAGATGCAATATTACCCCAAATTTACATGGAATTTTTTCTCATTAAAGGCTTTTTCGATACCCAAAACGATGATGATTTGTGTATCTATTTTTCGATCATACGCATATTGAAGCATTCCATTCTTCATCTTGCCGACTTTGTCACTGTCGTGCATTCTGTGACCTTCCGGATAGACTAGCAAGTTCGGTCTTGTGGCTTTGTCGAATTTGTTATCAATCCATTTAAAGAAGCTTTTTAATAATATTATATATATATACTTATTCAGATCGTTGCCTCCTCTCCTGAAAAACCAGACTGATTGTGTAAACAATTATTGGAATATAGCCAGCATTGGAAATGCTACTGCCACCATCCATCTTGCCAAGAAATTTGCACTAAATTGAGAAACCACGTCATGGATAAAGAAATCTCCCTGGGTTCTGTGGTTGAATAGTAACATTGTCTTCATTTCAATAATAAAGGATTACTCTCTTATTTGTTTGCACTTATTTCGAGTTTGGCAAATATCTGAATTGCAGTCGCAATGTCTTGACAGCTAATCGAGACCAAAACTCTTAGGCTCTTTTGGGCTAAAATGTCAAAAATGAATAGATTGGGCCAACAACTGATAATATGAAGAAGATGTAAATCACAATCCCAAAAAATTTAATCATTATTTCTTTTTTCAACAATATAATAATAGATTAATGTATGAATAATGAACAGGAACACCTCTGTTAAACACTAAAAATCACACTCATCTATTATCACATCTTCACAAGGAATTCTAATTAGATTTCTTGACTTATCTTCATTCGAGTACTCTGGATGATCTATTATTAGTTTGAAATTGTAAATACTCCATTCAAATAATCATTATTTTATTTTTTTCAAATATATGTTAGAACCTTCTAAAGATTTTTAAGAAAAGCAAAGGGAAGATAAAATTCTAGTATTAGGGAAGGACAATTTGTGAATGGGATCAAACTTTAGATGATATCAATATATACATTGAGCCTCCAAAGGCGGTTTTAAAAAAGTATGAGGATTAAGTGAGATAACAATTGAAACCAGGGGAGCAGATGCCAAATTGGACGTTTAAATAAAGGCTGATCATTTACGGATCGGAATTAAGGGGAATCCTCCATTTATTAATGAACCATTGGTGAAATAGTGTGATTCTAGTGAGTCTTACTGTTTGGTGGAGGAAGAAGAACTTCACATAATATTGCAGAAGGCTTACAAAGGGGATTTGTGGGCAAGTGTGTTTGTGGGACATGGGAAGGTGGATGCATTGACGGAGCAGGAATTGTAGAAGAAGATGCTTTTGGAGAGGTCTTTAGGAGGAACACCCTGGGTTCGACTTTTCTGGAGCGTAGATGAATGGGATAGTGCCTGATGCGAGGTCGTTTATGGGAGGGATAAAACATAATTGAATTAAAATTTATTATGAATATATTATAAGAGTACCAATTGCAGGAGTGTTTGGGGAATGGATCTTATGGGATAGTGCACAGTGGTGTGAATGTGGAGAGTGGGAAACGAGTGGCAATCAAGATGTTGAGAGAGACGTTTGAGTCGATGGAGGAGTGTCTGCAATTGAGAGAAGTGAAGGCGTTGATGAAATTGAAGGAGCATCCAAACATCATAAAATTGCTCGACAGTATGCATAAGTGCATGTGTTAGTGCGATACGAGAACAAGCGCCTGTACTTGATCTATGAATATGTGGAGAACAATGTGTACTAGCTCTATACGTAGGATAAATTGGATGAGGAGCGAATAAAGCACATAATACTGCAATGTGCGAATGCTTTGCTCCACATCCATCATCTGGGATATTTTCATAGGTATGGTGAATTAAAGTAAAAGTAAGGGACATAAAGCCGGAGAACATATTGATTGAGAATGAATGCGTAAAGCTGATAGACTTCGGCCTTTCAAGGGAAGTCAAGCCCCCCTTTACTGATTATGTGTCCACTCGATGGTACAGAGTAATGATTTTCAGAGATTAAAAGGCTCCTGAGATCCTGCTGCATTCAACTAGTTACGATGCATAGATAGACATATTTGCTTTGGGATGTGTCACATGCGAATTGTTTTTGGGAAGACCCTTATTCGTGGGTGGTTCAGAGTTGGAACAGTTTGATCGAATGCAGCAAATATTGGGGTAAGAGAGATAACTCAAAATCTATTTTAGTACATTCAGTAACTAAGATTGGAGTGAAGGGGTCAAATTGGTGAATCAACTGGGATTGAAGTTGACACACTACCCATAGAAGTTATTGCATGCAATCAAAGCATCCCCAATGGCTTTAGATTTGATACAGGGAATGCTTAAGTGGAATCCAAAATAAAGATTCACAGCTAAACAAGTCACTGAACATTTACTGTTCAAGTAGTAACAAACAACGCCAGAGTTTGCTCCTAGAAAACTACAAGATCTAGGACAATAATAACAGGAGTTGAAGAAGTTTACAAATTAAAAACAACAATACTAAACGAAGAAATGATTTTATATTATTTTGATTTATGAGATAAGTGTTTGGTACATCGAGATTTTAGAACCAACAAATTAATCCATCGTTCAGTGGTGCCAAGCTTGACTCCAATGCCAAATTGCATTCTAATTACAAGAACATGGATTAGCATACCTTAACCAAGATATACGAAGAAATGCCTTAAACACATCAAACTTTTGGGCATCGTTATCATCAATAAGATTTCGAATTCCTCAACTTGTATGAATATACTAAGCAACTTGTATCAATTTCAATACAATTTTGTGAACCTCATGAATTGGCGGCCGATCTGATTTTAAGATATGACTTAATTACTGATTCCACTTTGATAGAGGAATAGAAGTATGAAGAATCTCAGGTGGTATAATTCAATACTGTGTGTTAAATTCCTAGTGTAATGAAGATGGATACCTTGACTAATGAATAATTCATAATATAGATATATATGTCATAAATTTGCTGCAATACTAAGTTTATTACATGTGTCTTCCAGCATAAACTGAGTAAGTGTTCTTCAGATTACTCTCTGGTTCTCTTCTCCTAATCCAACTCAACTTTCACTCTATTGACTATGTCTTTCAACATCTCAAATATGGATTATTCACTCTCATCTCTGTTTCTCTTCTCCACATTGATCAGATTGCTCAACTTAACCAATTCGTCTGTTATTGATTTCATTACCTTAAAAATATCACCTGAGATACTTACATTTTAATCTGCCTCATCTCTCTCATTGGCCTCCTCTCTGATGGCCTCTTAAATCTTTGGCAAATCATTCTAAAGACCCTAATGAATGCCCTCAATGGCATCCACTCTTTAGGCTGTCTCCTTTTGTACTTCTGTTCTTAGGAGTGCAGTTTTATCCTCTGTCAATCTAAGAACTTTAGCTTCTCCCTCCTTCTTGGTTTGCTGTTCATTCTCAATGGCATTCTCGAACTTCTTGGTCAAAGCTTGGACCTCCCTGTTCTTGGCTTCATTGGCTTGTTCCTTAGCCAATCTGTCATCTTCCACTTATTTGGATAATTTGCCTAACTGTTAACGAACATTTAAAATAATGTGGATACTTGATCTCGTAATCCATTTAGTTTTGTGAAGATTTACTCTTGGAACTCATTGAATGCATCTTCTGCCTATTGAATTCGTTATTCGGCCTATTCCAATTTTTGGAATCGTTCATTCTCGACTCCAATTTGGATGGTTGACAATTTCTCAGAAATCTTTTGAATTCTTCCTGAACTTGGAGATGGTTACACATCTAAAACCCTATAACACTCACAATATTACAAGCAGATTGTTTCACTCTTGACATCAGATATATATATTTTAATTATTATTAATTTTATTTGTAATAATTTGGTATATAAAATTATGTCAAAATAATTAACAAGAATGGACAGCGAGAGTGATCTTGAAGAACCAGAATCACAAGTCTACAAGCAAAGTAACACTTTTAAATAACCTATTCAGTGAAACAATTGCAGAATATGAAGGGTATCTCTCAAATGATCACTGAGATAATCCAAGAAGAAGAACTTGCTGAAGTGGAAGATAAACACAAATACATGAAGAATTTGGTTGGACGCAAACTCAGTCAATTAGACAGTCCCACTGAATCTGTCAAATCAGCTCATTCCTCCAAACCATTCTAAAGTCCGAAAAAGACTCTTAAAAGAGACACCATATTTTTTGAACAATCCGACTTCAACATCCTAAGTATCCGAGAGTATGATTATATCGAAGTAACTTCAGAATGTTTTAAAAATAGATCAAAAACATGTGAAAAATGTGCTATCCATGAACAGAGTGAAAATGAAGGGAGAGCATCTGCAAAGAAGATCGTATCCCTACTCAAGAAACGCACAGATTACAACCCTGATCTCCAAAGTGATTGGAATGGATTGGAAGAAGTAACCACTTATTCGGCTGACACCCAAGAACCCATTGTTGATTACAGATGTCACATTGAACCAGTGGCTAAAATGGAAAAAGTGGAAATCCATGTCTCAGATGGAGTCTATGCAGTCCAATAAGATGGGCATTGGCTGACCAAGATGCACTCTATTAAGGAGTTCATTAAGGATCTACTTACGTTTGTTGAAATAGCCAATGACAAGATGATTTCCAGTTGGTGCTATTCACGCAATAAGTATTTGGAACAGAAATTCAAAATGCACTGCTTGTTCAATAGTGACAGAGAAAGCGAAGATCAAAAGCGAATAAAGAATCGTGACTTTTATAGTGTGCTAAAAATAGACACTCACATTCATCATAGTCAAAGTATGAATGGCAAGTAATTGCTCGAATTTATGAAGAAGAAATTCAGACAATGTCCCGAAGAAGTTGTCTATTTGGATGATGGTAAAGAAATGACACTCAAAGACATTTAAAAGCGATTTAAATTTAAAACTGAAGAACTAAATATAGATCTCCTGGATGTTTAAGCAGATAAGTCTCTCTATAAGAGATTCGATAGATTTACTAGCAAGTACAGTCCTCTTGGATAACCACTGTTAAGGAGCATCTTTTTGAAGACAGATAATTATATCAAAGGAAAATACATAGCTGAAATTACTCAAGATATGATTAAAAATATGGACAGACACACGTATGCCGAATGGAGAATCACCATCTATGGCAAATCTAGCAGTGAATGGAGAATAAAGGCTCAATGGCTTATTAAAAATAAATTACAACATCCAAATATTAGGTGGATCATCTAATTGCCTAGACTCTATTCAGTTTACAGAAAGAATGGGGAACTCAATTCATTTCAGGATATGATTGACAACATTTTTAGACCCTTGTTTGAAGTCACTATCAATCCTGAAGTCGATCCAGACTTGTATCAAGCACTCTTCAGCATCTCAGCATTCGATTGTGTTGATGATGAGAATTAACATGAGAACTTCTTTCTTCAACACCTCAAGATCCAACCTATTCATTGGACCAAGGACTCCAATCCCCATTATGCTTATTGGATTTATTACATCTATGCCAATCTATCCAGTTTGAATCAGTTGAGACAACAACGAGGCTTAAATACTCTTGATTTAAGACCTCATTGTGGTCTCAATGGAAATATTGATCACTTGGCATGCGCATATTTACTGGCGAAAGGGATTAATCATGGACTTATCCTAGAACAATCACCTGTTCTTAAGTATTTGTATTATCTCAAACAAATTGGTATATCCATGTCTCCGATTGCCAATAATAAACTCATATGTAAATATGCAGATTCACCTTTTAACAGTTACTTTAGACAGGGACTCAATGTGTGTTTGTCCACTGATGATCCGCTGATGTTACACATGACTGATTAACCTCTTCTAGAGGAATATGCAATTGCTCAACAGATCTTTGATTTATCCAATGTAGACATGGCTGAATTGGCACGTAACTCAGTTCGATGCTCTAGTTTCGAATCTATCATCAAAGAATTTTATGTTGGAGCTCAATACGAAAAGATGTACAAGACTACAAGTAATGTATGACCCTTTATTCTCTAGACAATCCAGAGAGGAACAATGTGCCTCAAAGCAGATTTCTATTTAGGTAAGAAACACTTAAAGAGGAGTACCAATACTTGCAAGAACTCAGCAAGTCTTAATGAAATTTAATAAATATTTAATATAAAATGGATTATTTTAAATTTGGATAGGTCATCATCCCAGGCAACCTAGTATTTTGGAATAAATAATATTGCTATTGCATCATTCCCGTGGTCAAATTGCTTCCTGGACGTAAGATGATTTATCTAAATAATCTCTTAGATGTGTTATTAATACCGAAGAGATAGGCACTTAGATTATAGGATTTAGATCCTGCAGAGATATTTGATTTGGGGTTGAGTGTGAAATTCTTAACCAAAAGCCTTGAAAAATACTTTGATTGTACATCATCCACTGTGAATATTTCATCATTCTCAAATGAATCTGACGGATTGAATCATTGCTTCATTCATATCATTCCACGTAAGGAAGGAGACATAAAAAAGAATGATGACCTCTATGGTTTACTTGACAATTATCCTAATGAGTATATGATTTTTAGCAATTTAGTTTTATTCGTTAATTTCATAATACATTGGGATTGGGAAATGCCTTCAGTGATTAGATGAGAGACACTCTGAGTCAGGAAGCCAAAAAATACAAAGAATTTTTATAGTAGTGTTTACAGGAAGAAATTAAACTTAAATGATTATATATTTTATTTCAAAGTATGGAAGATTTATTGTTTTAAGTGATAATCCAAAAGTCTTTCTTTCGTTTAGGCAGGAAATCGCGATACCTTCTTTGAACAATGTCAGGCATTTTGATTTCATCATAGATGTACTATTTGACTGGTTTCTCAATTGAGACTACGATGGTCTTGTGGACAGACTCGTTTTTAGAGGTCACTCTAGGCACAGCCACTTCTGTTTTGTGTATAGTAGCATACCTGACCTTCACTCTCTTCTAGCAAGCTTGATTGTAGATTTAGGCATATCTGGAGTGAGTTTTATCGAGAACCCTCATTTCAATTTGACTCAATTCCTTATTGCTAGACGTCTTGATTTCAGGCAATCCAATCAGGTATTCACTATTCTGAGCCAAGGTTTCAGTAACCTTTTCGATTCGTTCAGTCCTATTAAGCAACTGTGCCTTGATATATTGATTAATGTATCTTTGGGCTTCTGAACTTGGCTGATCCGATATGACTTTTTGATAGAAATCCTCATTGCTGATCTTGTAACAACTACCTTGTTTTAAACATTTAACAGTGAAATATCTGGATTTATTCAATAGGCATTCCAAATCACCAAATAGTTGATAGATTCCAATTTCACTTATGGTGATATTCTTCCATCTATTCCCAACAACCATTTTCTTCTGCAATTGAAATATTCCATCCCTCACCAAATAAATTGTTGATGATGGTTCTCCCTCGTAATAGACCAATTGATTTTTATCGAATATTTCTATTTAACAGTTTTTAAGCAATTTTTCAATCATTCCCTTCGACAATTGTCCAAATAGTTGAGATTGTCTGAAGAATTCAATCTGCTCATTCGGGTCCTTCAACTTGGCTTTCCTTTTGATATTCTCGAAATCGTATTTGCTTATTGTTCCAAATTTTGTTTTGGTAACACTTTTTACACTCTAAAGATAAGGCAAATTAAGTAAGGCTTCGGTTCCAAAGTACGTTTTCTTAACGCTAACCTCTCCTTCGATGAGTAAATAAAACAAATGGCCAACCTCTCCAGTTCGTATGATTTCTTCTCCTTCTTCAAATTCCACATAATGTATTTTTTCATAATACTCAGTGGAACAAAATATCCCGCCCAATTAATTTAATTTCTTGATTCCCTGATGACTCTAAAATATCTACACTAAATGCCTGAGATGATGATCAGCCTTTGTTTAGGATTACTTTGGAATTTCTTGCATTATTAATAAAATGAATAAATTTACACATACATTTAGATAATAACATTTGGAAAGCCTCTATCAAAAGGGTAAGCAAGATTATTGCTACAATGGTTTCAAAAAAGTGAGCTTTCTTTCAATGATAATGATTTTAATGCGCCTAATAGCATTTGGTCAATCCAATAACGTTGTCGGCATCTTGGTAGCCTCCACCTCCCTTTTGATTATATTCGTGATGTCAATTCTGATAATGAGATTCTATTAATCAGGTACCATCTTTTGTATGATATTCATCAACAACCTAATCATCTTGGTGCAATTGTAGGATTAATCGGATTAAACTAATTAATTCATCCTTGGGACTAATGTTGCCATTGCACATTCAAGCATACTATTGATCGTAGATTACAAATTAACTCTATTGAATATCTTCTTTCAAACTGGCTTAAAATTGTTCATTGCTGCACTACTTGATGCCAACATAGATGCTTCCTCCATCATACTTTCTGTATTTTGTCCTCTGTGCTTCGTCTCAGTCGTGCATACCATCGAGAAACAGAAGAGACTGCTCTTCCTCAGCAATCATCAAGGGAACGATTGGCGTAATTTGTTATTATTATTATAAATAGATTGTCTCTTGCCATCCATCATCAGCGATCCCTTCATTTTGTTTACATACGATGAAGACAGAATGAGTTTTAGATACAAGAATTCTAATTTAATTGATCACTTTCCGTATTCCTCCTTTGAATTGTAGGCTGAAGAGAATTTCAGGTAGTTCCTGAGAATGTCAACTCTAGGGAAAATTACCTTGGAATAATTTATATTGAATAGAATTGAAAAACAAACTAAGTTTTTTGACCTCAACCAATTCACTCTTAAACCAAACGAACACGACTCCACTGATTTCGAAGAAAAATCCATTTTATTGGCTGAACTCTATCATCTGGAAGATAACTTCTTAATCGTCCTTGAACAATCCAAACACAGAGCACAAACTCTGCAAACTACAAAGGATAACTTAATTAATCTTATTGGTAAACATCAATAATTGGTTTAAAATTTCCTTAAAAAATAAGGCTAAATAATTAATAACTGTATTTTAAGTTAAAACAATAGGATGTAACTAATATATTAACTCAAATTACATCACATGTACTTCGAAGGTAAATACAAAGTATCCAACTCCTTTTAGCAAGTCTCATTCACTTCTGAGACTGTCTGTGCCAACTTCAGATAACTCTTTCTTTCCACCATTTAACTATTCAAGAAGGCCTACAAGGAGTGTAATTTCTAATTCGATTGCTCAGAAACCCAATTTGATGTTGTTCATTATAAAGATATGGTCTAAGATTTCATTCTTCAATTGGTTCAAGTTACTCTACGGAAATCGAACAATGATTTTAAAAAACAAACTAGATTCTTATTGCACTCTAAGTCTGAATTATTATTTATTCGAATTATTTGCATGAATACTTATTTGTTGGCTGAAAACTTAAACAAAAACCTAGTGATCAAGAACTTTTTAAAATTTCATTCTCCATAACTAGAAGTGAAAGTAACAGAAGGAGGAGTCTTCATCGAATTGTACAAAGATGTTTCGGTTCTGAAGTCATTTGATAAATTTGAGAGTTTCAGTTGAAAGTATTCCAAAAATGATATTATACTTTCTGTTGTCAAATTATTTAGCAATCTATAATTTAATCAAACCACTTACATTTACTTACCAATTTTTATAAATAAATACAATAATATCAAATTTATCAAAATTATATTTTCATTACTTCTCTGTCCATCCAACCCAAGGTTTCTTATTAAATTTCAATTATAATATGTAATGGATCTTCTCATCCATCTGTATTATCTGTATTATCTTTATTATCTTTAAGAGAAGAATATTTATATTCTTTCACTTAATAATTATTATTATAGATACATCAGAAAGACAGAGAAAGGCAATTCAGAATTATTATTCAAACAACAAAGATATTTAATAGAAATTAAAAAATGAACAAATCCAAATTTACATAGAAAAACGTTGTTAGATCATGCACATTGAGTTCAACCCATTAAAATCCAATACTTCTAATGCTCAATCCAAACACCAAGTTTATTGACATAATGAAATTGATTCAGATCGTTTGGAGATAAAACGCAGATTAATTAAGACTCTTTTTATGTGATGGAACTGAAATCGAAGAAACAGACCTAATTAATATCAAGAAAGGCACGCATTTGTTTGCTCTATTGAAAAATGAGGAGAAAGATTTAATGAATTTAAAGTTAGGCTATGATATCATAAAAAGAATAGGGGAAGGTGGATAAGCACTAGTATTTTTGGGAAAGCACAAAGTAACTAATGAGTTAGTGGCCATAAAGAAGGTAAGTGCAGCTACTTAGTAAGATTAAGCGTTGGAAATGCTGGAACAAGAATCTCTGATACTAAAACAATTAGATCATCAAAATATAGTAAAATTATATGAGAAATTTGTATGTTCAGAATCCAAAGAAGTCATTCTGATTATGGAGTACTTACATGGAGGATAATTATTAGCTCAGGCAAATTGTAAAACCTTTATTTAAATCTAGCTTAATTAACCGAAGTTTAAGCTAAACACTTTTCCAATCAAATAGTAGATGCTATTGCTTATTGTCATGAAAGAAAAATCGTTCATTGTGATTTAAAATTAGAAAATATTATGCTTTCAACACCTTCTTAAAAATCAGTAATAAATTATAAAAATTAATCAGATAAAAATAATTGATTTTGGAGTTTCCAATTATTTCGGACAACCTTTTGATAAAGACAATATTCTAGGAACTCTCTCCTATTTGGCTCCAGAAGTATTGTCTACTTCATATAAATTCATTCAACCTGGCTAAGATGTTTGGGCAATCGGGTGCATAATATATGGATTAGTCTTTGGGAAACTTCCATTCGAAGGTAACAGTCCCTCTGAAACATATCGAAACATTCTATCGTGCAATTATTAGATTCCAAAAAAGTCAGTGTCCAAGGAACTTATGCACTTGCTGAGTATAATATTTGTAGCGAATCCAAAGGAGAGAGCCAACATTTTTGATATATAATCTCATCGTTGGTTAAATGAACATGCAAAGATACTTAAGTTAAATATCAATGGAATTAATATTCGTATTGGGAGGTCTTCTAGTGTTGTTAAAATGCATTCGACAAGAAAATCAAATGATGAAGACTATGGTTAAGTCATTAGTTAAAGAAAAATAGCATGTAGTAGAAGATCTGTTACTAGACTGGATAAAATATCCTTTGTAGTAAAATATAAATGATTTGTTTATAATTTCTTATTAGTATGAAGACATATAAATTAGTTAATTCAATTTATTTCTTATATTTACGTCCGTATTTCAATTAATTACTGGAGATATTTTGTAAATGAAGAATTGGCAAGCTGGAAGATAAAATTAATTTTTTTTAATTTTTGAGTTTTGGAATATTAACATTAGCACTGGATCCTACTTCTGTTTACTAATTAATTACAAAAGATTAATTTGTTGAGTTCCTCTATTTCATCCAAAAAAATACTAATTCAGAGTTATCTATATAAATCAAATTCTTGTATATCATTTTTCACTTGAATTAAGTCAAGCCAGAGTTTTGATTGGAATCGTTACTAATATGCTGAATTCAGTATTAATTCGATTCCATTTTTCTCAAAATAGCTTACACAAGCCATTTATAAATTTAGATCAATGCTTATTGTCTATTCTTGTTTAATTCTGTTTAATACAAATTTATCTGTTCTCTTTAATCTATAGTAATTAATATATGTGATCCAAGAAATGAAGATAAAATTAAAATCTAGATTATTAATTATATATATATATTTATGATTAGAATTATTTTAATAACTAAAAAATAGACTAAAGTTTACATCAAAAATCTTTAATAGTACTCTACCTGATCTATTATTTTACTATCATATGTGAGAGACATCTTTTTCTTTCAATTTTACATTTGTACTGCTTAGGTTAGAGTGGATTCAATATTGATTATTCCTTATCTGACTACTTTTGGAGGGATAATTATTTTTAAATTCTTTTAATTGAGGAATTGTTTTCTTCAGAATCAAATCTTTAACTGTTTGTCTTTTTCCTAAAACTATTTCGACTGTTTAATCTTAGAAAATTCATGTTCAACTTATTAATTGAACTATGAAAACTAAGATTATATTTATTCTGTTATTTAAAATAGGGATGATCAATAATCCCTTATATTTTAATTCTTAAATCAGGGTCTTTGACAAATATCAATTACAGCAAATCTCTTAGATAGGGATTGGCCTCTTCAGTTATTTTATATTTAATTTGGAAAACATTTTATTAGATACTTTATTTAGTTCTACCATCAAATGGAAAGGAATGTAGATGTAGATAATAAAGAATGACACCAAATGCCCAAATGTCGGTTGAGAAGGTAAACTCTTTTTATGTGATCAGTTCAGGTGAGTAATAATTGAAATTATTGATGGAAGTTAAATTCTGAATTCTATATGCAGTATTTAAACCTAAGTCTGTTAGTTTTATCTAATTGATGTTAAATTGATACACTATTCAAATTATCCTTCTCACTAAAGAGCATGTTCTCAAATTTCAGGCTCTTAATGGTGATATTTCGAGAATGACAGTAGTTTATGAAGTCAGCTAATTATTTAACGATTACTTTGATCTCTTATTCGGTAAACCTCTTATTTTCTAAAATTGTCATTGAATAACTTACATTGGAGCATGTGATTTAGAGATTTCCCCTGGCAATATTCAGTTATCAATGCGATTTCAGATTGTCTCTAAAATATAATAGTATCGTATATATGAACACATTTAGTACAATTTTCATCTTTAATTTATTATAAAATTTTAACAAAATTAGCCAACTCATCTCTTGAAAAGAATTTGGTGGAGATTTGTTTAATAATCACATCTATTTTATTCGATTTAATTTTTCCAATCATTGTAATTGAATTTGGATTTTGACAAAGCTAATCATTAATGGAGTAATTCAAAAAGAGGACATTCAAGCCCAACTCCGAACCATCTAGAGTTGCATACAATTTTGAACCTTGCCTAATTAAATATAAATCTTCTTCAAAAATTTCACTCCCATTAGATAAAAAAATTCTTAAAAAAGTAGGGCTAATTTTCCATGCAATTTTAATCACTTTGTTAATCTCCGCAAAAGTAGTTAATTTATTGATTATGATTCGTAGTGGATGATAATTGGCAGCATACAAAATGCTTGATTTGCAATAATTGTTATATACATGGCTATTTGACATAAATTTTGTAATTAATTTCAGTTTGAATAAATAAATGCATATTGCATATTTACAAAAGAATTAAGGATTCCTTATGAATGCTTTACTCAAAAATATCGTTTATTTTTATGAGTTTCTATTTTTAAACAATATTTATATATTTCAATATTCTTCCTTTTTATTTCGAAATTTGTTGTTGACTTGTATATCAGGAGTTAAGCATAAAATTGTATGAATATATCCTGAGGAAGAGTTCTTCGAATACTTGAAGTTACTTCGATATTAGAATATATTACAAGAGGGTATGATAATTAGTATAGAGAGCTTTAATTGAATTACTGATAGAATATAGGTTGTTAAATTGATATATGAATGGAGAAAAGAGATGAAATAAAAATCAAAGTAAACTTAGGTTAGTGTTTCTTCGTTGTAGGATTGAATTGGATTGAATATTTAACTTAAATTTCCTTATTTTTTTAGATTGTTTATTAGAAAGTTGTGTGTTTTGAATTTTGAGTTGTTTAAAGAGAGATTTAATCTCTAATTCTTATTCAATTTAAAGATATTCTGTCATTTCACTATCTTGTTTGTATTACATTTGTTCTATGTCTCTATATTATTAATATTATTTTGAATAAATGAAAATCATTATTAATTTAATAGTCATAAATTGAACTGGATTTAATAAGTAATTATTAACATCTAACTTATGTTATCATTTCATCTAATTACATATAGGGATCAAAAAGTTATAAATTTCTATATTCATTTTTTGTATTTTTTTTCTCATTATCCTTCAACTTCGAATGAGCATCCGAAATAATATATTAGCCATGTGAGTTTAACTGGATATAATAAAAATATAAGTGTATTAAGATGATGATAATTATTCGATATTTTCATTAGGAGAGTAGATTATTTAATTTAGAAAAATTAATTAATATTAATGCAGTATTAATAGTTCTCAGAGAATGAACAATAACAACTTACATTATAATTAGGTTTATTATATTTATTTACAATTGACTGTCTGTGTCAAGGTAAATCGCTTTTGAGTATTGTATGTAATAATTGGTTAATACTTTAGAGTGTATATATCACTTTCAGAGTTGACGCAATGTTATGTAAATCTCTTTCTTCAATATTCAGAAATAATACTTCCACAAATCAGAGTTATTTAATTAAAGGAAGATTTAAAATCAAGTAAGTTTTTGTTTTATGTAGATTATAAATAACTTCCAATATTCAAAGCAGGAAGAGATGGTTCGATGATGTGGGTGATTGTGCAAATATTTTGTTTGAGTATTGCCATAAATTGAATAATTACTATTACCTTGTGGTACAGGAAATGATTTCTCAATGTAATAGACAAGAGATTTAATTAATATTAAGGATGGTCTAATAATATATCTCGAAGAATGAAAAAGGTTACATATAATATATTCTGAAAAGCTTCAATTTAATGAAGATTAGAATTTAAATCATTTGATTCGATTACAGATATAAGATCTGGTTACTGCTTATGAATATTAAATAGAGTATTGAATGAAAATACCACTAGATATGTCTAAATTATGGATTATTTTATATTAAACTTTAAGAATTCCAATAATGAGAATTCTTTATATAGTTACATCTAAATTGAATGGACAACATTTATTGTATTATCAATTTTGTGAGCGTGTAGATTATTATTGCATCAAAGGAAATTTAAAATTTTAATGAAGGATTGAAGATTTAAACAAAAATGGTTTGTAATCACAATTTTCAACAATTAAGTCATGATTTACTGAATGGACTAACAAGATAGGATCGTTATTTTATATTGAAAGAGTTTCCTGCTTTTGTAGATTCTTTATCCCTTGAAGATTGGTGTTAGCATTTCACCTTACTAAAGTCTAAGTGAATACTAGGTTGATGACTATGTGAAGTCTTAGAAACCTTCCTAATTTAACTACGTCTTAGATTTTCCCTTTTTTACAACATCTTTTATAAATTATCTGTAGATATCTCTTTATCCTACATTTCTTGTTAATACTCAAGAACTTCATGTGCATACTAATTGAGGTAGTGATCAAAATGATCATCAAAACTTGAGAGAGAAGAAAAGTGCTTCCTCAATTTTATAGATTCAGTGCTTTTAATTTAAGGTATTTCAGGTATTTCAAACATCTTTTAGATCTAGTTCTTACTTGAATAATTGAACAGATATTTGGTTCTATTAAAGTCTTCTGCAAATGCAATGGCTTTCTAAGAAACAGTCAATTTATGTTCGTGTTTTCTTAAAGTCATGGAGAAATCATCATTCTGATCAATAATTTTAAGCATCTACTCACTTTATTCTTCTATGTTATCATAGATATGGAAATCGTGTTGTAATACTTTATGATTTACACTCTGACTCTCTTTCTTATGTTTATAGAGTTCACCCAGCAATTTCTCTTTAACTTTGCAATCGTCGGTTCCTAGTTAATTGAATACATGGAGTTTATTAAATAAGCCATTGCCAATTCCTTTTTTATTTTGAGTGACTTCATTATATAACTCTATGTACTTCATTCCTTTTGTCTTAATGTATTTTATTGGTTGATTTCGTTTATGCAATAGGTCTAATTTGGCCATTACAATTTTTTCCTTGAAATTAGGATCACTTCTATTAAAACTGTATTTTTAATTTAGTTCTCTATAGAATTGCTGCAGATGGGCTATTTTATTCTTAAAGTCATTTTTTAGTTTCATTTCGTTCTTTTCAATTTCTTTCTAAATTGCATCATTATCCTAATCTAATTCCAATTGATTAACATCTGCAACCGTATCTTTGTTTTCGTAGAACATCTCCATTCCAATATTCTACCATCCATGTATTCTTTTCTGAATTAGTATAAATAACAAACTACCTCTTTGTTGTCTTTGGGCTTTAAGATTCTGCAATTACTAGGTCCATCTTGTTTAATAGTGGTATCCCACTTGCAAATTCTTCTTTACGCAAACTTCAATGCAGAATCCTTATCACATCTCTTTATTTATAATGACAATTACATGTTTAATTAGATGCAGAAACGTGGCGGCTTTGGTTGGAGAAACATAGATGTCTTTTCGTTGGACACCACCTAACTTTTAACAGTACTTAAAATATGGTATCTTCCTTTGTAAATTTAATTCATACCTCTTCTTTTTATACTTATTACATAATAAATAAATTATAATAAAATTGAAATAAGAATTAATTTATAAAAACCACTAATTTATTACTAAATCAATTTCATACTTTTGTTCGTCTACCTTCAATCTGTTCTTCTTAAAAAACATCTTGCATTTCACCTTTTCTCTATTTCGAATTTGATGTTGATTATTTTATATGTTAATTATAATTTTTATAAGCAATTAATTAGACATGTTGAAACCGTTTGTGTCGTAAGAAACAAAATATTCAAAATATTTATCTAAAAGAAGTAAGAAAAAAAATATTGTTAAAAAAAATTAAATTTAAAAATGAGATAGGAGGAAAGTGAATCACTTACAGAGAGTTAAGTACTCTTGTTTATGAATGAGAAGATGAGAGAGGAGGGAATGCTTGATCGAATCAAATTGTAAGTGAGAAAAGAGATAGTTGATAAACTGATGTAAGAACCAAAATCCAAAAAACCAAAGAGATAATTTGATCTAAAAGTTGCCGATTGCTTTGTGATCAATTTCCTATAAACATAAAACTTTCTTTGCACAGCTGAAATTTTCATTTAAGAATGCGGACTTGATAGAGTAGATATTTTGCAAACTTAAGAACTACTCCAATTACATGGATTAACCATTAGGGATTATGAACAGCATTTGTTCCAATTATAACAGGGGACAATATCTGCATTAGAAATTATGAGAAGCGTGATAAAGAGAAAATATCAAGTTGAAAAGTCAGATCATTCTTGTTAGACAGATGAAAGAGAGGAAACATACGAGTAAAAGATGAGGAACCTTGAAAATGGATTCCTCAAGAAAGTTAACTATTCAAGATTGCACGATATGCAAACAATAGAGGAGAGAGTATTATCGAGTATTAATTATTGACTAGATGAATAATTTGAGGAAGGACATAGAACAGAAATATCAGGCTAAATTAGAGGCAGAAATTGTGCGTCTAAGAGAACATGAAATGGAGATGATAAGGCAGGAGGAAAGAATAAGATATGAGAAAATGTTGAAACAAATGAAATCGGGAGCAGATGAAGAATATACAGAAAAACTAAAGGAACTGAAAAAGAAGGAAGAAGATGCTTTAATTAGAATTAATGCCAAATTGAAAGCTATTGAATAAGACAAATTTGAGAAGCAATAAGAAATATAAAGGTTAACTATTAGTTTATTTAATTTAGATAGTTGCATGAATTAGAATAGGAGAAAATTAAATATCATAGACACAAATGCTTGGATTCAGATGTTGTAAAACAAGAGTTGGCTGAGATGGATGCCATAAAGCTAGATCTTAGGAAGGCCATGGATGAATATAAAAAAAGCAAGGAGTCCTTGGATTAACAGAATATCAAATAAGCAGAAATGTTGAATGAGTATTGGAAGGAGAAGATTGCCAAGGAGAGAGAGGCCAAGAAGGAGGATGGCATTGATGATGAAACTGATTGGGTTAAATATTAGAAGGATAACTGTTCCAGACTCTAAAAGCAAAGAGAATATTTATTGAGTGAGAATGAAACTTTGAGATAAGAAATTAATGAGTTGAACTACAAAATTCAAGAGGTTCAGAAAGAATTGGATAAATGCCGAAATGAATTGATGCAAGCAAAGGATGAGAGAGACGTTGAACACAATTATTCTATGCGTTTAGAGGGTTAAATTAGAATTATCACCTAAATTAATGACAGAAACAGTAAAATCTGATGTACTGTTTTTATTTAAATATATAATGATTACTATTTACAGATTCATCAAAGTTCAGAAAAAAATTTTCATAATTATTTAAATCCTTAATTTATTAGAAAATATAATTAAATATTCAAATTAATTATTTTAAATAGCATTTTCCTAACTTATGAATCGATCTTTTATTCTTATTAGTCAGAATCGCTATTCGACAACTAGTAAAATTCGACTCCGACTAGACTCGAAATACTTCGAATAGAATAGTCAAAATTAGGCTACTCTGAATTAAATTGAATAGCATCCACAAAGGAGAAAAAATAAAGATTAACCAGGATTCAATTTATATTTTTCAATAGTACTAGACATTTTGGAAAATACACTAAGTTTAAAAACTAGCAATTAACATTTTCTTAAATAAATAGATGTAGATCGGTAATTTCAGCGCTATGATGAATCCGATTTATTAATTATTATTTTTTATTAAAACTCAATATCTTCCTAATGCACCCATATGCATAATATCCTCCATTCTTCTAATGTATATAATTCATCTAACATATTAGACTCTCAAGCCTTCCAGTATCCTTAACTTTCAATTCAACAATTCAACCCATATCAGCATTAACAATACATCAATAATTACCTTTGGCTAAATTATCAGAGAGCTTAGCAAACCCACTTACTTTCTGAAGGTTCCTCATAGTCCCCTCCAATAATCAAATAGGAAAACGTAGTGAAATAGGAACAAACCCTCCTTAAATAGTCTAACTTTGAACCAGTAGAAATAATGACAAACCTTGAAAACAGTAAATCAGCCCAGCCACTAAAAACCAGGCTGAATATTTAGTCTTAAAAGAGTAAGCGCAAGGGGAAAAGGTCATCAAGAAGAAAGTTATATAACATAGGTAAATTTTTTAATTTGATTTTAGGACATTGGACAACGAAAGAACACAATTTGTATCTCAGCTTTACAGAAATGAACAAGGACATAATGCTGAATTCAGACCTAAAGAAATAGAACAAAATATTTAAATAGATGTCTAATTTTATAAAGACGAGGTCGCCCAGTTAATGTAGATCTCACCATCAAAAGTTTGATCCCAAAATATCAACCTCCAACAATACTTCTAATTTGATAGAGTGTGATAATGTTGGGAATCAAGAATGACATCACGTGTTATTATAACCAATCAAATATTATATCTAAAATTAAATATTATCGAAATGAAGTATCTCATAAGAGTGTGCCGCATTTTTTAACAATTATTCGAAAATATTAATGAGACATCAACTAATTTATGTAATGATACTCTAATTTTTAGTTTTATATATTAATAAAATATTTAAACATTAATTTATAATGGCAGACAGCTTTAATTCTAGTGGATAATTTTATAATTTTGTTGGAACAGCAGGAACAGCAGACTTTTTACCAGGATCAGGTTAGGAATAATAGTAATCATAATCCTATATTAATTAGATTGAGTTTCGGCAGGAATTATTTGGGTTATAATGATCAACAAGTGGGAAGTTTTTAGAATAACCTCCATCAGTCGTAATTGATAGATTCTGAAGTTAAGAATAGTCTGGATCAATTTTTTGAAATGAAAATCGAAGATGTTAGATTAGATAATTTATTAATTCATGAAGAGTCTTCAAGTCAATCAAAACAAATATAATCCATACATTCAGATAGAAATAGCAGATCTCAATACTCAGGAGATCAAGATTTCCGATTAGGTTGTAATGGTCCTTATTATATGTAGAATCAGCAGAATAAATAAATAGTAAGTTTAAACCTGAAGTTAAAATGCTCATCCCTCAAAATCAGGGCAAGAGCATTTATCGAGACAAGATTGACTCTCTATTAGAGAAGCGAACATCTAATAATAACTCAGTCTCACCTTCAATAACTCCAAGATCATCTAAGAGTCAATAAAAATTAGAAAGAAAGAGATCTCAAAACCTTTAGAATGAAACTTCAAATGAAATGACAGATCCTACATAATTAAAATTAGCAAAAAATAGGGAATCTGCAAAGAATTCGAGAGAAAGGAAAAAAATATATTAATCATTGCTCGAAAAATAAGTTTCAGAATTGCAATTAGAGAATGAGAAATTAAAGGATATATGTAAAAATCAAGCCCAATCTATGGAGATAGTTAACAAGAAGACTCAGAAAGTATTTAATTGGTTAATTATATATAGTTTCAATAATTTTTAGAACAGTAGTAGCAGATGTTTGAGAAGTTGGAATTGTGTATAATAAAAAAGGCTAGTTTTGATGAAATTGGGATAATAATGGATGCTTTAAGATATAGAATACAATCGAACTCGTAGGAAAGAAACGATACTGCTAGAGTATATTTTGATAGCATAGCTGAAATAATGTTACCCATGTAAGTAAAATATTTGTTATATGCATGCTAAAATTCGAAAGATATGTTTGCGAACACGGAGTAGTATGTAATTTATGGTTATTCTTAATTTTTAGAGATTACAGTGATTGGATAAAGGAAGGTTTTTAAAGTACAAATGTCAAATTTGAGAATTTTACCAAACTTAAAAAATTTTAGTCCAAGGTTCAATAATTAAAATAAAATATCTCTAAGTAATGAATCCAATGATTATTAAGTTCGTTAGATAAAATAAAGAATGAAATTAAGTCCATCTAAGACCATGCTTCTAAATTGGATCAGGTTTGGGATGCGCTCAAATCCATTTTAAATCCTCTCTAGTTAGGCACTTTGATGTGTTCCCTTTATCACGTAATTGTGTAATAATAACGATTAGAATCTCTATAAGAATGAATTATAGACGAGCACATTGTTTGCTTAATTAAAGAACTCTCAGGCTGAGGAGGATGATTTCTCTTTTAAGATAGAGGAGGAAATAAATTATGGGACTAATAAAATGGTTAAGAGGTGTTGAGAATTATTAACTTATATATATATATAAATTTATTATTTTGTTTCAGTGAACTTTAAGAATGGCTGAATAAAAAGTTGTTTCTGTCTTTGATTTTGGAAAAACCAGAAATAAATTTTGGTAACCTTGTGATAAATCTGTCCTGGATGTACTTATGATCAATAATATTATTTAAGTCTTAATCTTTTTTAGTCGAGTAAGAATTTTTGACAGCTGGGAAGGATAAAGTAAAACCAATATTTATTGTGCTTGGATTAGAATATCTTTATAAAGTTACTGTCGATAAATTAAAATGTGCCCCTCTGGCTACTATGCATTTAAGTTATATCGACCCTGGAGCTGATCACATGGTTTAATTAAATTCTGATGAGTAACAATATGGATTCAAATTGACATATCAAACAAAAGCTTTGGATATCTTTCTATCTGACAAATTGTTATATGATCAATGGAAGCAGCATTTCAGGAAGGTTTGCTTGTTATAGAATTTCCATGATGCTTTTATGGTTTCAAAATTAATTGGTAAAGGAAGTTTTGCCAAAGTCTATTTGGCAACTAGAAAAGAGAATAATTAATAATATGCCATCAAAGCATTTAGTAAGTCCTTCATGTAATAGCAACATAAGGGAATTGAGAGTCTGTTAAATGAAATGCAAGTGATGAGAAAATTAAATCATCCAAACGTAGTTAAGTTACACGAAGTTCATGAAACGACTAACTCCGTGTACTTTGTAGTTGACATAGTAAGTGGAGGTGAATTGCTATAAAGAGTTAGAGAAACAGGTTTTCAATTCAGTAATTATTAGGCTTTCTGCCAGCTGAAACTCTTTAGAGATTGGCTTATAATTTATTATCAGCATTGAATCATTTACATCAATTCAAAATTGCACATCGAGACTTGAAACCTGAAAATTTGCTACTACGGTCAAATGAGAATAATCATGATATTATTTTGGCAGATTTTGGTTTGGCTGCCCAATTGACAGATGAAAATATCTTATTCAAAAGATGTGGAACTCCAGGATTCGTGGCACCTGAAATTTTAGATTATTTGGAAGGCTAATAATTCTATGATGAAAAATGTGATGTCTTTAGTGCTGGCGTAATTTTGTATCTCTTGATAGTATTTTATAATTTCTATAAATAGACTGGAGGATAACCATTTACTGGGAAGGATCAGAAAGCTATTCTAAAAGCCAATAAAGATTGCTAAATAGACTTTGATGACTCTCTTTTCAAGTCTGCTCCCATTTAAATGTAAGATCTCATCAGATCAATGCTATAAAAAAAAGCATCTTATAGGTTGAGTTCTACTGAAGTATTTAAATTATCGAATCTAGTGTTTAAGACATCCGTATTTCAAAGAATTAGCCAAACAATAATAAATTAAGCTAGAGAAATATACAAGCAATTTGGCAGAATATAATTAATAATTCAAAAATAATGTTAGAGCAGGTTCGATAGATATGACATTGGAATAAAGATCACCTTTATTTACAGGAAATCTAAATTCTATAGAATCAATGACATGTGTTTCTAACAATTCATTTGCCAAAATTGAAATGAAACCACCATCTGTTGTTGGAGCGTCCAAATTTAGTTAATACAGTTCTCGTTTGAATCGATTAGGTTCTAGAGATATATCTGGTAAGCTTTTAATCCTAATTTTAGATATTCCTAATACATAATTACAAAAAACAGAGTCAAAGAAACACATAGATTTACATAGAATTGCAATTCAAAATTCACACAGAAAATAGATAATAGATTAATTTGAAGATTAACCTGTGCATTAAGAAAATTCAGAGGTCTCTGATATGGTTAGGTTATATAATTCTACCAGGTAAATTCGAATTCCAGATAATTTATCTTCATTGTCCTAAACAAATAAATAGGCATCTACTCCAACCAATAAAAACAAAAAGAATTCTTGAATATTTTTTATCATATAAAATAAATATATATTATTATCAATAATCTCTCTCTATACATTCATAAATATCATTAGATTGCCTAATTAATCTATGTTCTTATGCTTTATCAGTCTTTTATTAAATTATACTTATCTATCTAAAAGTTATTACTTTTGCAATGTAAAACTTTCAAAGGCCAATCAATCTATATTAACTAAGATTACTATATTTCCTTATTTATTGTATTTCTATTTAATTTTTAGATTGAACTTACTACATGTAATACCCTTTTATTACAAATATTCCTAAAGTAATTCTTTTTCTGATTATTGAATATCAATATTTATGCCATTTGTATCTAACACAATTATTGAAGAAAACTAGATTTATTATGGATTTCAAATTGAAGTTAATTATTCCTTAATATTAGTTTTATTTAATTTATGTCAATTTTGGGAAAATTTGCTACAAGTCCAAAAAAAAGGAGTAACAACTATTCCACATTATAGGTGAGTTGCCAAAGGACTATGCTGATTAAATTCTTAAGAATGACATTACTTTAATGATGAGCAAATATACCGACAGCATTGCATTAAATAATCTTATTTAACTATATATGGTATTTAATAGATGTTATTAATAAGAAAGGAGTTGAATATTATGAAGCACAAAAAGATTAATAAGGTGAATATTTTAAAAGTAAATTAAATTGGTTAATGAGTCATCCTTCAATAATATCACCTAAGAAAAAGGAAGAAGACACACTTTAAAAATAAACAACAAAAAAGCTAGATTTTAAAGTGCATTCCATTATCGATACTTAATAACATTACGATAACAATATTCAATAATTTGAAATTCCATAAGAAAAGTAAGAAGTTTAAAAAAATAACTTAATAACTAATTAAACAAATGAGGTTAGATAAATGATTGATAATTTAAAGAAAGAAACATCCAAAATTAATGAAGTAATAAGTCAATTACACTAGATAATATAAAATGATCTCAATTCTCAAAAAAATAAAATTGCTGATAGAATACATAAAAGAAGTAAAAGCTTTGTAAATAAAAACAAATTTGAATAAGAGGAATGCATTGAATGAGTATATAGATTCTCATTTTTATTGATTCTCTTAATACGCATTTATATACAATAATTATTTATAATAATTTATATATAAATTCCGAAGAATAAATAAAGATAATTATCAGATTAGTATATTAATAATTAATATGTCTGTAAAGGCATTTTTGTAAATGAAATGAAATAATTATTCAGAAATTATCAAAAGTTTATTTATTTACTAATATGTATTTTCAAATTTAATTAATTGGATTTTTAGTTGTTTATAAATTTGATAATACTCCACATTAAAAATAAAATGAGAAAAATAAATTTAAGAATTATTAAAAACTGTGAATAATATATTTATCTTATTTTATATTCTATTTCATTTGGTCTTATTTATTATTTATTTACAAGCAGAACTTACAATAGTGAGTTTATTATTATTTATATCCTCGAATACATTATTTTCATTAAGATTTTAATCATTTACACCAAATGCATAAAATGCTATTTTCGATTCATGATCAAATGGTCCCATATATGGAAATCTTAAAGACAACATTCCTAATCTATCGTTTTCTTCTATAGTTATTTAATCATTTGGTATATTTATTGCTAGCCACAATATTCTGTAATCTGAGACAGCATAAATGATTAAACTTTTAACTTAATTTTTATCAACTTTTGAAAACTGAACCTTTGGATTGACCCCACGATGAATCAGCAATCCATTATTTTAGATCCCTTTATTATTTTAACCAAATGTAATTTTGAGTTTAAATTTTTTATTCAGAGTTTTCATATGTATTAATTTTGCTGCTGCTCCTCCAATTATTCCACCCATTAGTTATCCAGAAGCACATCCAAAGGGACCATAGAAGGTACCAACAGAATTCCCAATAAATAATGATAATTACGTTATTGACATATGTTAAAAGTATTGTTTGACCATAGCTTAAATGTTACTTTTAGATAGAAATTTCTTCCAATCGGTTACTAAGGCTTTTCCTAATTAAAACACTAACAGTCCCAATTGGATGCTTTAAGAGAGGAATATAGATGCAGTCTAAATTCCAGTTTAGATTAATTAATCCTTATCCAACTTCCCATAATAAGCATCAACTAACATACCTCCTAATATTACTCCCACTTAACCAAGTTATCGACTTTACTGTTCTGTTATTTTTACTTTATATTTTTCAAAATTTGTAAGATTATAGTTATTGTTTTTCAGATCAGCTTTTAATCCCTATTAAACATCTTTAACCGTCAAATCTTTTGTTTATAAACGTTTTCCTTGAGTTTTCCATTTATCAGTATAACCCAATTATTTTGTGGTATCTTTTTGTTTAACTATTGTAGGTACTCCATCATCAGTTTGATAGACTAGTACTTTATTTCCATCTATAGTTAATTCATATCCCATTTTCTAAGATTCACTATGTTGGACTATTTAAATAGTCTTAACTTCTTACTGTTGTAATTTTCTCCAATTTAATTGTCGAGTTGTGTAATTTGGTGTATTACTATATATACAATCTAAGCGATAATTAAAAAGAGAATTAATAGTATAAGGATAAAATTCAGACCATATCATTATTAAATCTCCTTTAAAATCTTCAAGGTTGAATATTTTTTATATTATTTTTATAAATTAATTAATTAACTGTTCTGACACTCTTGAGATAAAATCACTCAATTTTACTAAAAAGTCATCGGAAATAATAAATTCGAATGATATTTCTTTGATACAAACATCAAGTAAATTATCCAGATATTCTTTATGAGTTTCTTAATTTTAAAAAAACTATTAAAGATATTAAACTAACTGAAAAAAATAGGCATCTAAATTCTATTTTAAAAAATATCTTATATCGCCAACTTAAGGAGCAAATTTTCTGACACCTTTAATGATGAAATTGATTCTCGTTTGATAAAATTCATTGATTATTTTCAGTTTTGGCTTGAGTTCATTATTAATTCTGTCTTACCAATATTTTTCTCTCTTCTTCTTATCAAAAGTCATTGACAAATTGTTCTCAATTTATTTAATACAAAAATAATCAATTCCACTTTCACATTTGCGATACTCTATTACCTCAAATTGAAATTAAGGAAACAAGATTACTTCTTTTTCTTCATCATACTAAGCGTGATATTTTTTAAGTTTAAAATAAGGATGTGGATTGTTTTCACTTAATTAAATTTCAAATACTATTTTTAAATTTTATTGTAAAAATTTATCTACTACTTTTGGTTCCAATGAAGTACTTGCTAAAGTGTTCCAAAACATACTACTTTTATTCTAGTGACAAAACATTAAATCTCTCACAATTTTTAAATAAATATCACGAAAACATGGGTGTAAACTAAAACCTCGATATAATTTCTTTGGAGGTTTTTTTTGATAATTTAATTTTGAATAACCGTCGAATAATGTACACATAATTTATTTTATAGATTCATAATCTGATTCAGCCATTTACTAATTCAATTTGTTATATAGTTCCTATCTAGAATAATAATAAATTAATTTTTCAAAAATACTAAATCCATGTCCTTTTTTGTTTTTCTTCATTTCTTCTTTTTAAAGAACTGATGATTTCAATTCATTTAAATCACTCTATGAAGTAAGTTTTATAATTTCTTCATCCAATTAGCTCTCTGATAATTAATAATTCTGTTGCAATTACTAATTTATCAGTAAGAATCTAAATCCTGTTTCCTCAACCTAATGATAATAACTCCGAATTCCTTTCACTTGTGCAAAAAATGATAATTTTATGGATTCTATAGCATTTAAGAAGTCAATAATTTAATTTACATAGTATTACAGTTTTGATACATTAGATTCGGTGAGAACTAATAAATCATGATTTTCCAAGAACTGCTTTTAATTAGTTTATGTATCTTCACCGAAACCAATTATATTCATCTTTAAATTTTATTACTTTTAAGAGATTTAAGAACCTAATAAAATTACAAAAATGTTATTACCATCCTTTTGGAGTTCGCGAACTATTTTAAGGGCTTCTTCAAATTATTGAGTAAAGCTGCTATTTTAGCTAGTATTTTTTAGATTTTATTAATGATCATCCTAAAATTCTGTTGGATACCATACTAATTCAACCTTTTAATCCATTTTTTCCATACTTTCTAGATTTCTTTTTTTAATATAAATTTTAAAATTGTAATAGAATTATCATTTTATTAATAATTTTCAAGTTATAATATGAATTAATTATTATTATTAATTGTATACATTATGCTGATAACAATAATTAAGATATTTTTAATTTATTCATATATGAGATTTATTAATTAAATCGAAAATTATTAATTCAATTTTCTAGTTCAATCATAACTTAATTAAAAGAGGAAACTAATAAATATTAAAAATATGCTAATTAAAATATCTACAAATAAAATATTCCTATTAATTGATTCATTGACTTGAATTATTCTCCTAATTTTTCTTTCAATTTTTTATAACTATTAATCATTGGTGGTGCCTTTCAAATAATATCATAAACAAACATAACTCTAAATATACTTATAATTTTATTAATAAAATAAAATATTAACATTTCATATTTATTTAGAATCTGTCTCAATCATACGATGAAACTAATCAAAATTGAAATTCCATGCTTCAGCAATTTTTGCAATCTCTAATATTCTTGTATCATTAGTTGATTCCGCTGATTTAACTTGCACATTCATTGCAATATTATCCTATAAATTTATATATATATCATTACTATGGCATACGCTAAAAATACATCCTTGACTGTAATATTATTTACATCATCTGTGATTAATCTAATCTTTATTGTATTGAATAGGTTCTCCCATTCAGGGTGATCTACATTTAATAAAATATTACGATTTATTTATTCACTGAATATAGCCACCTAAGTCATGAATGAAAAAGCTTCCTTGAAATTAGAAAACTTCACTTCCTTATATAGTGAATTATCATCTTGCTATTTGATATTTGATATGATCAATACTAATTTCCATGTTGCTCCTAATTAATGCATCTTCAATAATGTTTTGATATCATCATTTTTCAAAGCTGTTGGCTTTTCCCCTTTGAAAATTGAAAAATCTTTCACCTTGAAAGATAATTTTGGAAATGATGATGTTATCTTGCCTGAACAAAATCTAAACAACTAAATCATATTCAATGATATATTTTATTTATTTATCATATTTTCATTTTAAAACACACAATAAATGCGTATTATTTATTAATTGCAAATATTTTAAATAGGAAACCTCCCCTTATTATTTATGCTAAACAAAACCTTATTAATTGAACAAGAGTAAAGAAAATAGAATAATATTTATTAGTAATTCTTAGATTTAAATTAGGAAAAATAGGGAACTTGTTATAAAAACTAAGTCAAGATAAATATCATATTTTTATGTAATTTACTTTGAATTCAAGAAATCAAAGAATTAACAAGGTAACTATCCCATATAAACATGTCCAAATTCAATCTATCACAGTTCTTTGAATTTTCAACCTATTTACAATTGAAAATGCTTTAGTATCTACTCAAATATTAACGCGTTAGGTTTAAATACTTATTCAAATCAGTTTTATATATTTTGATTAATATTTAAACAAGTTCCTGTTAGTTTCTTTCATTTACTATTAAATTTTTTGAAAATATTCATTACTATAAAATATTATCTATCCCTTTATAAAAATAACAGCTATATTTCATTTAGTATTATTAGATCAATATATTATTATATTATCTATTATGATTAATTTTAACCAGGGGATCACTATTAGTAGAAATAAGTTAAATATGTTTATTCTAAAATTTTTTATATTTCATCCGAAATACGTCCTTTAAGATATATAAGTTAAGAACCAAAAAAATTTTGAATAAATTATTCTTTTGAATCTAACAGTTTAAAATTGGTATTTAATTCACTTTACAACAGTTATCATTGACAGAATTAAGTAAGGAACCATATAATTTTAATTGAAAAATATAATTCATTGATGTTGATTATCATGTCCCTCTAATAGATCCTTTACAAACCGAATTGCCATAATTATAAATATAACTGTAAAGAAGATGCATAAGAAAACACCTTTGCATAATTTTTTCCAACATTTCCTGCAACATTTTTAACATTAAAAGCATTTGGAGTCTTAATCTCTATTAGAATTTTACGTTTGTACAATATGAATAATATTTGCCTTCTCTTATTATTAATCTATTATTTTTGATTAAAATATACATTGATTTCCGTAATAATTTTGGTTCTAATACTATTCTTGTTGCCATACTTAGTTTGCTTATTGTTTTATTTGATAATGAGGTTGATAATTTGGTAAATTTTCATATTTGAATTATGCTTATGCTTGATAATATTCCTCTGAATATTACTCTCCAAAATTTTCATTTTAAATTTACACATGGTTGTTATATTTTGATTCCGTCATTTTATAGAATTATTTTATGGAAATTATTAAACTATAAACAAAAATGTTATTTATAAATTTTTGTCTTAGAAATCAATTTTCAACATTGGGTTAACCTCCTTAAATATTTTAATACTGATATTTTCTTTGAGTATTTAGGAAAATATTTCTTGAATTAAAACTTAAAAAGTTTAATTCAAAATAATCATATTTCATCTCAAACCTTAAATTTCAAATTACAAAATTCAAAGTGCTATAAGATGCAATTTAGTTTTAGCCATATTAGAAACTAGATTAAATCCTTTCAATCCTTTCTGTTTGAATGGAAGAGCAGCGTTTCTGACAATTTTAGATAAAAAATCCTAAACAAACGAGAACATAGGTGTGATTGCAATTTCGAAATAACATTTCGTTCTTAATTAAAATTAAAACAAATTATCAATATAATCTTTATGAGGGTTAAAAATATGTAAATGTATTTGACTCAAAAAGGATGAAGTTCTAAATGATTGAAAATTTGATAAATTTTATTCTCAACTTTTATGAATAATTCAAAAAAGCTTGACTTAATTAAGAATATTTGCATATAAAGAATAAATTCTAAAATTATTTTAATACATTTACATAGTTAGATCAACTATTATGTTTTGCCCTTTTAGCTTAGTAAAATATTGTTGAGGGCTTTAATAATATCATTATTGAGAAGAAAATTTAAAAATAGAATAATTATGTTAATAATTTATTTTATTTCTAAAGGGTTTGAAAAAAATTAGTAGTTAATTATTGAAATCATTAAAGTTAAACCTAAATTACTAAATTAATTGTCCTGTTCAATAGAAAATAATTTAAAAAAGAACTTCAATTAAACTTTACTTAAATTACTTTAAACATTCCCCGTCTCTATCAACTTTTTTAGTTTTCTTTAGAGGATTAATCAGCATAGTGATTTAAATTATTTAAAAAATTGTTAATTTCCATTTTTATATTTGTTACTTTAGGAATACGATTATTTATCTTAGGGATAAAGTTTTTTGAAGAAATAAGATTTTATACTTCAAACTATAATTAAGAAAGAGAGACCAAACACATAATTAATAAGTTGGAATAAAAATTCAACTTTTATAGTTGATTAAGATCTTTATTCAGCTAGCAACATCATCAAATATGAAGCTAAATTTGAGAGTTAAGCTGCTCGAAGCTATTTAAATAATATTTACTATTACTTTCTACAATCTTTTATTTTACTATAGTATTATTGGGAAACACATATGAGTTTTAAGATAGAATTATCATTCGAGCAATAAATCAAGTAATTTTCTTGAATACAGATAAGGAATGAAAATAAAATATATTTTAAAATTCAAGTTTATTTTTATTTTAAACTCACAAAAATGCTAATAAATTCATTTAAAGAAATTAAATTCATTGCTTGTTTTAACATAATAATTATAAGCAAATCTCTTAAATATATTTCTTAATATCGATTTATATATTGTCCTCTAATTTTAAATACCTCAACTTTATCCCTTCAAAATTCTACTTATCACTCAAACATTAGTGGATTCACTTATTAAATGAGAGGTTAATAATGAAATTTATATCTTATAAAAAGATGAATAATAAAATGATTTGTTTTTAAAATTTGCATTTAATCTCAAACAAATATAAGAATTATGGCCAAAACAACTTTTAAAAGCATCTCAAAGCATGATTGACAACTCCCAGAATCCAATTTACTCGAACTCCAATGATAAGCACCTCTTGTATTCAAACTGCAACTAAAATTACTTAAATCTTCCGGACCTTCTGCATTAGCACAAATTTAGTCTTTTTCATTCCAATAACATGGTTGAATTCTTCTTTCTGGAGTATAAACATACATGCAATCTGAATCTGATTTATAATTCGAACATTCTTCCCATTTGCAAGTCATTTCATCATTATAGCATACACGTTAGACATTACACCTGTTCAATTGTAAAGTTGAACAATCTGGGAAATCTGTGCACTTTTCTCCAACAACGAAACACATTAGTGGGCAGGTATCTACAGAATAGTATGAACATTTAAATTCAACACAATTAGGTCCTGTTTCTCCTAGTTTAGCGCAACGAATGTTTTAGGCATAACATTCACGATCATCATTTCCTTGTAGATCACTACATGAGTTAAATGGTTAGCATTTACTATTTGAGTTTTTTTTATCCAAGTAGCATTAATTTTAGAAGAGTGAACATCTGTCAGGAGCTTATGCAGTGCAGTTTACATTCTAACAAGTAAAATCTTTAAGTTCACATCCATACTCAAAATTTATGACGCAATCAACAAACAAACTGTAATTTTTACAAGAGCAATGATTTGCCTTGTCAACAGTCCATCCATAAATTAAAACAAAAACGCTATTCAGGATAAAAACCTTTATCATAATATTAATTTAATTGATAGAGAACTTATTAAATATTTACTATTGAATCCCAATTTTCTAATAGAAACTATTGTCCGCATTATTTAATTAAATAACCTTGATAGACCCCGGTCAAAATAATAATACTTCGTCATAAATTAATAATACTGTATTATAATCAAACACTTAAACAAGAGAATAAAAAAATTGTAAAAAGGTTAGAAGTGAACTTCAAAAATGCATTTTAGATTTGCTGGGTGATAATAAACTTATGATGAGATCATTTTTTCAAAAGTTTCTTTGATGTTTATAGATAACTAGGTAGGAAAGTTGTTTAAATTTATATTATGTTTTTGTTAACCAGATAAAGGTGATCTGTCAACTTACTTCTTCTTTAAAATGAATGCCATATCTTAGTCCATATTATATTAGAATGTACAGACTTTCAAAAGTATCACTCAACTCACTAAACAAAAATGACTCAAATGTTCTTATATCTCACAATGGAGTTGCTAAGCCATTCAGAAAAGATGAATTTGACATAAAGCTTACTAAAGGGTTTGGGTTTGGGGTTGGGGTTGAGGGTTGGGAATTAGAGGTTTGAGTTTGGGTTTGGGTTTGGGGTTGGGGTTTGGGGTTGTGGATG